TTTTCTTTTCCCCCTTTCCCCAACCAAAATCTTTTAAAATTACCCTTTTCCCCTTTCAAAGCTTTTTGCCTTTCAAATTTCCCCCCCCCCCCCCCACCCCCCCCAAATCCATCATCCTGCACACTGCCTCTTGCTCACGAGACCTCCCTCACCCGCTACGCTCCCTACTGCCTGCCATCTCGGCTTCCCGGCACGCACAGCAGCCCGAGGCGTTAGCGATGACGTCCCCACGTCCCCACGTTCCCACGTCCCCACGTTCCCACGTCCCCACGTTCCCACGTCCCCACGTTCCCACGTCCCCACGTTCCCACGTCCCCACGTTCCCACGTCTCCACGTCCCCACATCCTCACGTTTTTACCCTCCCCCGTAGTACACAGCCCAAAATGTGGCGTTCCGAAGTCCGCGACAGGAAGCAGCGGGACCAGCGAAATGCGTGGAATCAGGGGAGGCGGAATGCAAATCGATCGTATGCATTTAATTGGTTGGATCTGTCCCGTATGGCGCGCAGTGACGTCATTTGTCGAGGGGTTTCGGACCCTAGAAACCGGGATCGGGAGCGGAAGACACCCGGAATCTGGAATCGATGAACATGCCTCCAGACGTCCGGCTGAAAACACGTTTCACACTTACTGACAAATGCAGACACGCACCGAGGGTCCTTCCAGGCAGAAATCATGCTTGAATCACGATCTCGCCTGCGCTCATGCGCTCATGCGCTCATGCGCTCATGCGCTCATGCGCTCATGCGCACGTCAGATCATCCACTCACTGTCTGTCTCTCCTACGATAAATGTCGACTCTCACTTCCACCCTCAGACAAATGCACCTCTGTACATCAACAGAACAAACACACGTGATGCACCGGACTGTGCGCCTCCCTTTCCCTTCCCGACATCCACCTTAACCCACCGCACCGACCGCACTGACCGCACAGACACCTCCGACACAACCGCTTCAACCTCGGCTTCCATTCTGTTTGGGCCGTGATTCACGAATACGAGTTCTCTCTTTTGAAAGGTAAGTCTCGCACTGGCGTCCCGGCGACCGCACCAAAGAACATATGTGAAATGGGCGGCCTCCTTGCCTGCGAGACTTACCGCAACAGCGCTTGAGAGAGATGCTGTTGCTAACGCGAGTCACCGCTTGTTTTTTCGGCGCTTTTCGTTCTTTCTGTTTGTCTTTCTTTCCTATTTACACGACGCACTGGCACTGTTTCTTCTTTTTTTGCCTTTCCAGCACACTGGCGGCCGTTACTAGGGATCCCCGC